TTCAGGGGAGAAAGCCTGCCTGTCTGGACTACAAGCAGGAACCCTGCAACCCACATAGCAACATTCTTCGGGACTGGTGACACTGGTGTTCATCTTTGCTCTTGCTAAGAAGGTTTCCATACAACGCTGCAACAATGAATTTCCTCCGGAGGCGTCTCTCAGACAGTAGTTTTGTGGCAAATTTGCCCAATGGCTACATGATGGACTTGCAGCGCCCTGACAACTCCACGAGCTCCCCGGTTTCTCCTGCCATGGAGAGAAAGCATCCGCAGCCACCGCAGCCCTCGCACTCTTCCTCTACTGGCACCAGCATCTTCAGCTCCATCTCCAGTGCCATGAAGCAAACCACGCAAGCGGCTGCAGGACTAATCGATCACTCAACCAGCCCCACACCACCTGTGGCCCAGAAACCCAAGATCCTCCTGGTGATCGATGATGCGCACACAGACTGGTAAGTCATCAGTGTCCTCCCTGCTGAATTCAGCTTCAAAAGGTTTGGGGAATGAGAGAGATCTGGGAAGCACAGGGCATCTGCAGGGGTGGTACTATGATACTTTTACATCTAGATCACTAACTCTGGCCCCAGGTTGGTGTCTGCCCGGTGACTTCCATAAATGGCAGAGTAGGCTTTTTTCATATCTTTCTTGAAAAAAAATGTTCATTTGGTACTCATTGACAAACTTCTCCATAGCCTCAATATACGAGCACACATAGGGCATTCTTGGCTCAACAGGCTTAACTGAGCTGTCACATCTAGCAATGGTCCTAAGAGATCACAGCTGAAGGTGTGTTAGTGATATGGTTCAGGATCTTAGACTACTGTTTGTGCTGGCTCTAAAAATGAAAAGGTATTCCATCTCTCCATCTCTCAGTCTCTCTTGAGCTTTCCTCTGCATGTAAATGTGTACATAAATTTACAAAAAGGTAACCCAAGCTTACAACTGCCAATATTAATGGCTCACTCACTAGTCAAGGGCCCTTCACCTGCTAAGCGCAGCGGGTACTGGCTACTGAGCTCTCAGGCTTAGCTAAGCCTTAAATTTGCCTTGTTCATGCAGGTCTCTGTTTACAAATAAAAGTTTGGAAATTTGTTTCCTGTGATATTGGGCAGTAGAGGACGCTTTTCAAAGGGCAGAACAACTGAAGTCTTCTGAAGTGTTAGAGAAATTACTTATTCTTGCTGCATGCTCCCTTTCAAAGTTGGCTGGTTTAGAAAGCTTTAGGCAAGCTGACCAAGAGATTTATTTGGGGGAAAATCCAGAGCATGTGTTGAGATGTTCTTCTTTTGTCTGCCAGCTTGTTACAACACAGAAAAAAGGAAAGGGTAGCACAGGCAAGGAGACAATATTGAAGATTTCAGAACTGAAAGAAGGTGAGTTATCAGGTCTTGGCCAAGGGAAATTTTTATTGTCCTTTTCATCCCACACCACTCCTCAGTCACCTTTCATCCTCTCCACATTCCCAGGAGAGTGAGGACAAGGTGGGATCTGCTTCCCTGAGTGTATCTTCACAAAGCAGAAGCTTAGCTCTTAGCTGAAAAGAAGCAATGACTGAGAACTAGGTCAGGCTTCTTCAGCCAATTTGAAGTAAGAGAGGGAAAACAGTGGGATTTTCCTCAAAGGAAAAACAACTTTTTGACTGAGTGGGAAATTCTCTGATAAGGTCGTTGTCGTATCAAATGTTTCACTGGCCATTTATCACAGTAGCAGCCTCTTAACACCAGATAGTTAAGTCAGCAACACCGGGCTGGCTCAGCCCTGATCTCTTCTTCCTGGGTGCACCTGCAAGTCTCCCAGCAGGCTGATGCTCACCAACCTTGGCCTCTGCTTAGCGTTTTTGCAGTTCCTTGAAGATGCTGCCAGGTGGCAGTCCCTTAACATAGCATCCTGCAGCTAGGGATGGGAGTTCCTCTAATGCACAGCTCTAGCATCTGGGGCTTAGCCGTCACTGCTTTGTCCAAACATTGTAATCAGAGAGGAAAGCCCTAGCTCAAAGGCCAATCTAGTTTTTCCTTGAGATTAATGGTGCTGAAGATAGTCTGGGCAGCGGAAAGGACGAGGAGAGGTTGGACTCTGTTGCAGTGTTTTCATGTTTTAAAATACACACTGCATTCAAATCCCTGCCTTTATATCTCCCAGCTGCTGTTCTGTCATGCAGACTTTGTGGCCTCTGAGCAGCAGCTGGGAGATATAAGAGGAGCTATGGCTACTCACACTGTCTTCACTCCTCCACTCATGTGTAAGCATTTCGTGCATCCTGCTGTACTGCTGCTGTTCTAGTTATAGAACTTAGCAGTTTCTACATGTGATGGGGGACCCCTTTCATTTCTCCCAGCTCTCTGCCTCTACCCACAGTCTTGCAGATATCAAATAATGCTGCTTGCAAAGGCTCCTTGCCTTCATTCTCTCTAAGGTGGTGAGGGCACTGAACAAATTTAGTGTATGCAATCATGACCATAGCCTGACATAGATATGACATGAAAACCAAGGAAACAACATTACTAACCCTAGCACAGATTTCCACAGCTCTTGTAGCGTGGACAGAAACACATGCCTAGAAACTTCCCCAGCCTAAAACTAGCATGTGGTCCTTTCTGAGAAAGCATACCGGTGCTACCACAGGAGTGCTACTTGGCAGTTGATTTTCCTGCCTTCAGGAAACTCAGTGAGCCCTTGAGAGCAGCACTGGAGAGCAGCGGCTCCATGGCTGTTTATTCTTGGGAAGGTATTTCTGAGAAATGCCAGTCATCTTCTTGGTCTCAGCCAGGGTGTTATGTGAGCTTAAGCTGACCAGCCCGAGGCAGTAGGGTTTGCCTTGTGAGAGGCACAGCTGAAGAAGTTGGTTATCCAGGGATTCTGGTTGCCCACTCTGCATCACTTACGGAAACAGTCGCAGACTTTGGAGAGTGAACAACAACCTATTGTTACTTCTGTGCTGGTGGTTTTGAGTTTGAAAGAAGCATCGTGTTTGCAATGCATTTCACCTCTGCCGGCTCTGATTCTTGCTACTTGTGAAACTTCTGTATTTGGTTTTCAAGAAACTCTTTCCTTCTCCTTTTGAAATAGTTATCTCTACTAGGAAAGATCCCCAAGAAATAACTAGTGAAGCACTACCTTTATTTTAAGGGTGAGGGGGCTTCCACAATGCCTCCTCCCCCACGGGAAGTTACATAGGGTTTACAACAAGGACTAGCTTTTTCACAGACAGGAAGGGTGAGAGACAGTGGAATCTGCCATTTGATTTCTCTTCTCTAAATGAAAACACTTTCTCATAGCTGGAGACTGTAGCAATATTGCCAAGCCAGACATTAATTTATCATCACTGTTTGTATTACAGCAGAGGCAAAGAGGTGCAATTGTGTATTAGGATGAGGTGTTGCACAAGTGCATGACGAAATGCTCTAAGAACCCAAATAGACAAGTGCATGTTGAATGCACTTTAAAGTGACAAATGGTAACCCTTTCTATTTTTAAGGAGCTACTATGTCTCTGACAGTACAGTAAAGCATTCAACTTCTCTCAGAGGTGTGGAAGAAGCAAAGAGCATCCATGGGAATCCACGGCCTCCATAAAATCCTTAATGCTCTTGACATGAAATACGTTCTGGTATATTCCAAAGACAAAATACTATAAAAATAATGTGAGCCCCACAGAAACTGATCATCTGCTTTCTGCATTAGCAGCAGTAAAAGAAAGGTACATTCTATTAAAAGCAAGGGAACTCACCCAGCTTTCTGGTAAAAAGGCAACATTTTGACAAATTTTCCATTCTTCTCCGAGACTCAGCTCTAGCACATTGCAAGGAAGCACACAGTGAGTCTGCCCCATACAGGATGTGCACAAGAGGAAATCTCTGCCTTTATGGCTCCCTCACACTCCTGGCTTTGACAGGCACCCCTCAGAGGCACCCACAGCAGTGAAACTGCCATTGGCACGCCAGGGAAAACCTCTGCTTCTCTTCAGCCATTAATGGTACATATCTCAGCCGGGCAGCCTTCACCTGGAGAATGAGGCACTTTCTTGCGGGCTAGAAGTATCTGTGCCTTGGGAGACTTCCAAAAATGCATCCACAACTCACCTGCAGCAGCTAGAAAAAAGGAGCTCAGACATCAATACACACACACACATACACGTGCAAACACAGCAGAAGGGAGCAGGACCGTGAGGAAGACGGGTGGCAGAACTCCATGGCAGATGGGCCAGCTCCGGCAGTCCGACCTCAGCCAGGAGGAAAACATCCTCTGGCAACTTCCTCACCCAACAGGCTATTAAGTAAAATCATGCTCTTGCTGGATTGAGTTTCTCAGCAGACCAAACAGGATTTAGTACTGTGAATGGTTAACCCCAATTCTCTGTGAAAGTCCTTAGCTCTCTAACCTAATGTGTCGTGTTTCAGCAGCTTATTTGGGAAGTGATCAAGCACAGCTAAGGCTCCTATTAACAACATATGCTAAAAACATTGCTTTTTGGACCAGACAGCATAACAAAGTTGCTCTTGTTGCATATGTTAGATATCTTTGTTGCATTTGTGAAATATCTCAAGTCAGTTTTCAAAGCCATTAGTGTGTTTTGTCCAGATTTCAAGCTGTTTCAGGTTCTAACAGTGTTAGAATCATAGAATCGCTTCAGTTGGAAAAGACCTTTAAGATCATCAAGTCCAACGATCAATCCAGCCTTACTAAGTCTGCCACTAGACCATGTCCCTAAGCACCACATCTACTAATCTTGTAAACACCTCCAGGGTTGGTGACTCAACCACTTCCCTGGGCAGCCCACTCCAAAGCTTGATAACACTTTCAGTAAAGAAATTCCTCCTAATATCCAACCTAAATGTTCCCTGGTGCATCTTGAGGCCATTTTCTCTTGTCCTATCACTAGTTACTTGGAGAAGTGACCAACTCCCACCTCACTACAACACCCTGTCAGGTAGTTGTAGAGAATAAGGTGCCCCTCAGTCTCCTTTTCTCTGGATTAAACAACCCCAGCTTCCTCAGCCGCTCCTCATAATGTTTGTTCTCCAGACCCTTCACCAGCTTTGTTGCCCTTCTCTGGACACACTCCAGCATCTCGATGTCCTTCTTGTAGTGAAAGGCCCAAAACTGAACACAGTATTCAATGTGCAGCCTCACCAGTGCTGAGTACAGGGGAAGGATCACTTCCCTAGTCCTGCTTATCACACTATTCATGATGCAGACCAGGATGCCATCGGCCTTGTTGGACACCTGGGCACACTTCTGGATCATATTCAGCTGACTGTCAGTAAACACCCCCGGGTCCCAACTTAATGTCCTCTGCAAACTTACTAAGGGTGCACTCAACTCCCTCCTCCGTGTCATTGATAAAGATATTAAACAGAAGTGGCCCCAGTACTGAGCCCTGGGAAACACCACTTGTGACTGGCCATGAGCTGGATTTAACTCCATTCACCATAATTCCTGGGGCCCAGCCATCC